TGCCCGTCACGAGTGGAAACCGATTATATCCCATTTTTAACCCTCGCATGTGTGCGGCGTTTGCCAGCTTCTAAAGTGTAGGGGGGGGGGGATCGGTTGGACCCCCCCTTGCCGTTTGGCCCCTGATCGAGCTAGAGCGTCGCTTAAAAAACGAGCGTGTTGCCCGTGACGAGAGAAAGCCGATGATGCCCAATTTTAAGGCTCTAGGTCATTGGTTGAGTGTCGCTGCTATGTTTTTTTATTGGGGGGGGGGGGATTGCTGATCACCAATATCGTGCTACTTTTGATCACAGATGATGTCTTTAAGCATTTAGACCAGGTCAGGTCAGGTCAGGTCAGGTCAGGTCAACCAGTAGGGGTCGTGACGGATATTCGTAGTACCTGTCAACCGCCTCTGACAGCTTCGTAACATGTTACGAAGGCTCCAAAACTACTTCGTAAATGTTCAAATGCTTTCTAAATTCGAATTCATCTCCAAAAACCAGCATAGATATATGTAAAACTCGAAAAAGTGAACCGAGGTCACCAAAGATCAATGACCTGACCTGGCCTGACCTTCAGGTGACCTTGCCATCCACCCTATTGCATGGGAGCAACACCAAATCACATGTATGAACGTTTGAAACCACGAAAAGCTTGCAAACGCGCGGCTAATGCGAGCCGACATACGCCGAATCGCGCTTCCGGCCAAACATGGCCTCGGAAAGTAGGTCACATGTCAACGGTCATTTTGGTCAGGGTCATGAAATTTTCAGGGTAGATGTGAAATTGATCAATGCGAGGGTACTGAAAGCTTTGTCACAATCGGCTGCTTTTTACGCGAGTTATTCGCTTGAAGCCTTGGGTGGGGGGGGGGGGGGGTGGCGGGTGCATCAACTTCCCCCCGTGCCGGCGAGGGTTACGGAGACGTATCATGATGTGAGATGACTTCAGGGGCATAAAATGGGTCAAGAGTGGAATTTTGTGATTCGGTGTGCCATTATTCACCTGTATCCGGGTGCCATCGCTAAAAAGAGGAGCATTTTGACCTGACTTTATGATGTGACCAGGGCCTCGTTTCATAAAAGGAATTACTTACGGCGTTCCGTCAATTATGCCAGATTTGGCGTATTTGATGCCAATTCGGTTTCATAAAGCCGGAGACCGGAGTAATTCACGCCATCGAAATTACGGAGCTTTATTTACGGCAAATGCTCGATTCCGGGCCAATTGATGCCATTTGGGTTTCATAAAACGACGTAATTAACGCCAAATATTTTATCAAGTTCTTGATATCAGTGGTGTAAACTACGCACGAAAATGTTGCGTGAATTTGAATTAATGTGAAGATTCGAAGCTAATTTTTGATATATTTTATAATGTTGAGCCCGGTGAGGAAGAGAGAACAACCAAAATGAGACAAAGAAACTGCAAATCTTCTGTACCAGTCGCTTTTTGTGGCCACTATCGGAATTTTGTTTATTCGCCGCGCCGCGCCACTTACGCAGTTAGGCACTTCTGCTTGGCTGGCTTTCTGCTGTTTTAAATATATTGATTTAACAAAGGATGGTCATTAATATCAATTAAGTTTTTTCATATATAATTTTTTAAGATTTAAATTCAACATAATTGTTTTATAATTTCTCGTAAAAAAATCAGTGTTGACATGAAATTGTAATTTGTAGGACGCTTGATAAATTACGGTAACTACGCAAATGTGCTTAGATACGGAGGTGTAAACAATTCCAGTTGTGACTTTGTGAAACGGCTTCATTTGCGCTCCGTAGTTTGAAAGGGTGTGAATTACGGAAAGGTGTAAGTTACGGCAGAGCTTTATGAAACGAGGCCCAGGTGTCAACAATTCCAGACACGATACGAAATTCATAAGTTGTGCCAAGTTTTGCGTCGCTGTGCGCCGCAGTTTCCGTTACAGACACACACAAACATTGGCAAGTGTGGCCAAACACCCCACCCCCACCCCCACCCCACCCGGGAGAAAATAAACGATGTAAATTGCTATAACTAATCTCACTGAGCTAAATGCGATCGTGACTACTTACAAGCATCATATTCGAGTCGACACAGAAAGACCAGCGATTCGCAGCAGGCCCCCTAGCCACAGATATGTGACTGTGAGCGATAAGGCAACCAGCGCGGCGCGTCCCTGACCCGGTCAAACGCGTCTGTAGCGAGTGTGAGGCCAGAGAGATATACTGTGCCGCTGAGCCTGGGTGTGAGGCGGCACAGTCTACCGTTGAGGCCAGAGGGATGTGCTGTGCCGCTGAGCCTGGGTGTGAGACGGCGCAGTCTACCGCTCCAGTCAAACGCTGGGCCGTCGGGGGGCGAACATCACTTAGTAGGTGAGTGTACAACTGATTTATTTTATGATGATCTACCATACTACATGATAATCAATGACGTCATCTTACCAAAAAATCAAAAGACGTAGAATAAGAATTTATAAAAGCTTAGCATACTTCTTGGCAAAACGTTTTCTTTGTTTTTTCGCAGTCGCACCAACGGCATTTAATTTTCCTTGTTCTTCTTCCTTTGTCCTTAACTTATCCTGTGGTTCCAGAGTCCCTGTCCTTTCCATTTCCTTTTAAATCAAAATATATTTTTAATGCTCATCCCTATCCCCCAGTCCTAACAGTTTCAAATTGTATTGCAATAAAATGTTTTGAATTCTTCACATATAACCTATCTACCTTCGTTGGTATACTGTTGGTAGCCAGTGACACATCTAGGCAGGTAAGTAGGTACCTACCTGTTTTCCTGCTGTCTTCCTAAAGCATACCTAATGAAGTTGTCAAATTTATAGCACATTTTCAACACTTTCATATCAATATGGTGTCAGTGTGGCATGTAACCTAGCTAGGTTCATTATGTTCAGGGTTCAATTCAGAAGAGCTCCGCATAACTCACATAAGAGACAGACGGGGGCTTTACATGGGGTAGATGGCCTGATGACTTAGCTGGAATATGGCCAAAATTAAATTGACAACTTTTAGGTGAAAGGTGGTGATTTGGGTTAAGGCCGCGTTTGTTGAAGTCAACTACTGTGTTATTTTGCACCCATTAAATGAAACTTCTGCTCCAATTCTACCCATTGAACCTCAATATCATGATCCACCTGTCCATCACTAGGTATCCTTCCTTATTACATAGAAACTTTGAATGGCATGGCAATTTATAATTTTAAATGACAATATTTTTGTTTCTTCTGTAGGTAGGTAGGTAGGTAGGTACACCAGACTGCTATGGATACTTTTCCAAGTTGGTGGGGCAAAAAACCTAATGTATATCTTGGTTTGAGTCGTTTGATTGAGTTGATTGATTCCTTTCATTGTCGCGTTTGAGTCGATTGAATCAATTCCCGAAAACTGCTCTGACTTGATTGATTTGATTGGTTTCCCAAATTTGTCGTGATTGAATTGATTGCTATTGATTGAGTCGTATACAACCCTGATTGTGCAGTCGGCGGGACCGATTCAAAATTGAGTCGTTGCTACTAAAATAGCAGCATATGGCGACAGATGATGAACAGGAAAAATAGTTGCGTAAATTTAGACATAAACCACCCCCAAACCATGAATATCTTTTGAAGGCACTATAGACGACCATTAACTAACTAGATGTGATGAAGATCAAATGTAATGAATACGCTCATTTTACAAAATTACATGCAAGTACCAAAAAGTGATGTAAGTACTTATTCAACGGTCATTTTCAGCGCTCCCCGCTAACGTGACTTCAAGTTGAGATATTTGCGGCAAGGTACCGAATTGAGCAAAATGGTTTTAATTTACATTATAACTTGTTGTGTTTTGTCAGAAAATGGTCCTAACTCAGATTTTGTGGAAAAAGGTCATAATCTCCCTTTAAGACAACAACAAATTTCATTTATAGTGCGTCAGAAGGAGGCCGAAACAATAAATCGTTCGGCAGCCGGCTACAAAGCTCTCTGAAAAGTTATAGCCAATACCATCACACAATGGTCGGACGGCAAACCAAATGATCATAGCCAGAAAAGAAACAAGTGTGTCTCACCGGGCGCTGTATTGGCCATTTAAAGAAATCAGGAGCAGAACGCTAGTAAAACCACGCTCATTTTTTACGGTGCCGTCATGATCTTGTAACTTTGAGAGATACTTGACTCGGTTTTGCGAAGCCCGTGCCACCCGTTTCGGATCGTGAAACCCTACGTGAATACAATATATAAGCCTGCAAGCTATCACAACACACAGTACCAGCCTTGGCCGGTGACCATAAAACGTTTGCAGACCAAGTAGACGAAGCCTACGCTAATTGGACAATACTTCTGAATGCCCGTCCATCCATCCGTCCGACCCACCACTATCGGCGCGGCGATCTGGAGGACGCTGCTGGACATTGCCGAACGCCGGCAGGTGACCCTGCAGTGGGTCCCTGCTCACTGCGGGCTGGCGGAGAACGAGCGCGCTGACGACCTGGCCAAACAAGCGGCCACCCTGCCCCAGGACGCCGTGCCCTCGGACGCTCGGTCCCTGACACGGGCAGTTCATCGGACGGCCACACGTCAGTGGCGCGAAAACTGGCCCGACTCCTTCTTTAAGACTATCTTCGGGAGCACCCTGCCGCTCCCCATCCCCGGAGAGGACCGAGAGGCCGCCATCTCGGTGCACCAGTTGAGGGCGGGCCACTGGGGCCGCTCGCTCCAATACCTGCACCGGATCGGCCGCCACCCCTCCGTGGCATGCCTGCAGTGCCCCGATAAGCGGTGCCCCGCGGCGCTCTGCGCCGTGTGCCGGGAGGAGGCGGACGTGCCGGAGCACGTCTTGCTCCGCTGCCCGGCCCTCGCTGGCGCCCGCCTGCGGCTAACTGGCAGCATTTACGTCGACCCGTCGCGGCTGCGGGACGCCGACCTGGTGGCTGCCTTGGAGGCCGGCTACCTTCGCCATAGGGAGCCTCTCGGCTATGGTCCTCCGTAAGGAGGTCCCAGGGGGAACAACAACAACAACAACCCCACCCGCGGTGCGTACCTGTACGAGATAGTTCTCCTGTTGTATGCGCTCCTTCAGTTTCCTGGGCACGTCCGGTGTGATCCAGCAGATGAGCTGCATCACCACGTACACCACGTTCTGAGGGTGGAGACGGCGCCGAGCGGTATGTGTCAGTTGGTGAGCGTCGGAGTGGAGTGAGGGGAGCTCGGGGACAGACAGCGAGTAATGATTGCTGGCGGCTTTGTAAACAGAATGCACTGACAGTTGCTGCAGCTGAGTAAGTAGGAGTACAGATAAAATATTCCAGCAGGTTGGTTATAAGGTGCCGGCCTTATTGTCGCTATCAACGAACAAGATTGTGGCACAAATTTCACGGCGTTGGCGGCTGACCCAATACATGACTTAAAAAGTTTCTGTCTATCATATTACGAAACCACTGATCTTTACGCCCAAACTCTCGCTTTCAGCCCCACCCCCGTTGCAGACCAGAGACTGACCTCGAAGATGAGTACAAAGATGAGCCGCGCGGCCAGTACGTGCCAGTAGAGGACATCTGGGGCGTATTTGTCCTCGGCGTCCGGCCCCAGCCGGTAGTCAATGTACCTGGAGAGAGGTGGCACCATCGCCGCCGAGTCAGGCAAAGGAAAACCGGCGTGCCCAGCCAAGAATTGCTGTTAGCGCGCAAGAAATGTATTCAGTCCGCGTAAGTAACACTGGAAAGAACGTTTACCAACATCTTGTGAATTATTGGGATAAAGTATTCCAATCAACGAGCATAAGATCTGAAATCACGAAACATTTATGACCTGTATGATCTCAGCTTATCAGGTAATTAACCGTTATACATATTCACTGATCAATAACGCCTCTTCAGCCATACAAAGCCCATTGATACCAACTGTAACTACTCCACTGGTACTGCCTCCTCTCGACTGTCTGCCTCACCTGCACGTCTCAATGTTGGTATCGTTATCGACGACGGGCCGGTACTTTTCGGGGAAGTCAGCCACCCGAAACACGGACAGACTATGGTTCATGTAGCCCTTCAGCGTGCCGTCCTCGCTGACACGCATCGAGTACACCAGGCGCGGAATGAAGTTGGACGTAAAGCCAATGATGCACGCCTAGCGGAGAAGGAGAGGCGGTATGTAAGCTGCATGGAACCACTTCATAACTTCAGGCTAGTCATAGCATCCTGCGTATCAATTCACGCCGACACCTCTAAACGCCATAGTCCCACACATTATCAAGGAGCTGAATATTAGGGAGTCATGGGTTTGATTCAAAGGACTCAGTTGCACCTCTTGCATGTATCTACTCCACCCCGCTCCCCTCCAGTTCTGTACTCACATTACTGAGTACGGCCAGCTTCCCTATGGTGTTAAGGATGCGGTACCAGATGCCGATATCCCTCACTCGCTGTCCGACCGGTCGCCGGTAGAAGACGAGCAGCTTGCGGGCGTCCAGCCGCATCTCCAGCACGTTGTTGATGATGGCGAACAGCGGAGCCAGCGGGAACGACGCCACGAAGATGGTGACGAAGCCGAACTGGATCACTGCGATGGTGGAACATGGGGATGAGTCAGGGACGGCGTGTCCCGATGATGTGAAATAAATAAAATGTCAATTATGTAACTAACAATTTCAAAGTCACATTGTGAGCAAAGACATCTGCGTTTAGCACCAGGCATCACACAAGTTAGGTACTGACTATTATCAAAAGGAAACTAAGCCAAACCAGAAATGATTAAGACTTCACGCAAAATATAGCATTCGCTTACATTATGTGAACCCGTCGATAAAGCGTATCTCACCCATTTCGAGGTACTCCCAGAAGAGGCTCTGCGGTCCCCAGTCGAGCAGTTTAAAGTCGGCCGCCCACTGCGGCAGGACCCGCTCCTCGTCCTTACTCTGTGTCAGCATCTTACCGAGGTCGCCCAGCCAGGTGAACAGCTTCCTGGTGACATGGCAGGGGACAGGGGTTTAACGGGTCGGAGCTACTGGAAAACGGTTACAAGGACGTTAACTTTAGTTAAGTACAAGATGTTACGCTTTTGATAAGAACACAGTAATTAGTTCCCGCGAAACGTGAACAGCAAAAAAGTTTGTTGGCTTGTGGAACGGATAATACGATAAACATAAACAAAACGATGAAGAGCAAGAACCGAGACGTCAACTGAAGCTCGAGTCATCGACCCGGCCATCCACCAGCCGGTCACCATCCCGATCGTGTCGACTTACGGCAGTACCATCTCCCAGACGGTGAGCAGCGCCTGCTTGCCCACCATGATGATGCCCAGCTGCATGGTGAGCTCCAGAAGACAACCGCCCGGGCCGCACTGCAAGCACAAGCATCACGTCAGGGTCACGCAGAGGGAATTATAGCTGCACACGACTAAATACAGGGTGTCCCAAAAAATGTACCTCATTTGAAATGAAGATATCTCAGTGTCTGAGCATATAATGATCCTAAATTTGGTGCCATATGAAAGCTCATTCCATAACATTTTGTTTGATATAAACTAGTTCAGTGTACGTTACGAGACAGCCGAGTGATAACGGAAGCGCAAAACCCCTGCAATTTCGCTCTTCAACTATTTCCACAGGTGTTTCTGGGAAAAAGCTTTCAATTGTTTTGCCGATATTTTCAGCAACTCAGAAGAAAACAATTAGAAATATTGAAACTAGGTTTCATTCATGCATTGCTAACATAACAAACACACATCGCATCACATCCCAGTTAAAGGTTCAGCCGTGCTAACGCTCGAAGTGCCCTCCCTTTTGCTCGCGGCACACATGGCGGAGCGTCTTTGGGACTCTTGGGCTACGCGGGCACATTTTTCAAACGGGTTTTTCCGGATGCATGTCCGGGTCGAGTTCCTCAGCTGGTCCAGAGTTTGAGGATTCTTTGCGTGTACCACACTCTTGAGGAACCCCTACAGATAAAAGTCAAGAGGCGATAGGTCTGGGAAGTGTGGCGGCCAGCTAACGTTGGCACGCTGGGATATGATCCGATCACCCATGCGCTCGTTGAGCCAGACCATCGTTGATCTCGGAAGTGTGTGGAGGAGCCCCGTCCTGCTGTAGCCATTGGAGGCTGATGGACGATGGTGTTCACACATTTTTTGCACACTTGTGGGACGAGCTTTTTTGTTTGTTTTGAAGTGGTCCTTTAATTTCCGCTGTGTTTGCACCACAGAGCCGGTTTGGGGGTAGGATTTTGCAACTTGAATCCTTTCCTCCTTGCTCAGTTGCCCCATTGGGCAAAATTAAAGATGTGGAGCATTAATTGCCATGAAATTAGCTTTAATGAAATACATGATAGCTATCATCACGAGCGTATTTTCTGAGATGTCTTCAGTTGACATGAGACACAATTTAGAAAGACTTGTGGCAGTAATTCAAGTGCGAAATTGCAAGGGTTTTGCTCTTTCGTTATCACTCGACTGTCACGTAACGTACAGTAAAATAGTTTATATCAAACAAAATGCTATGGAATGAGCTTTCATATGGTACCAAATTTAGGATCATTGTATGCTCAGACACTGAGATATCTTAATTTTAAATGAGGTACATTTTTTGGGGACACCCTGTACATGAAGCAGTTACTTGAAGTACCTAGGTACCGAGCCAAGGCGGAAACTGATACCTTTAAACCAATGGCATCGAAAACAGCACAATCAGTAACCAGTCCCTAAGAACCAAGATTAGATGCAAACATTGTTCGACGAGCCCAAGCCAATCCGCTTAAAAATAAAATGGAATGTAAAACCACTACGATTCTGATATCCTGGAAACAAACCAACCCACTTCAGCATGTGGAAGCATTTATTCTACGTCATCCATCCCCCTCCACCGGTGCCTTACGTATCCCCTTTTACCCGAACGCGCGCTTATCACGCCAAAACCGCAACCCAGCACCACAAAGCTCACCTCCTCCTGTCTGAAGCCGGCGATCCGGTTGTAGTCTCCCGGGTAGCCGTGGAACCTGCCCTTGAAGAAGGCGATGTAGAAGATGGAGGCGTAGTAGTTGATGAACTGCAGCAGGTAGATCTTGAGCGTGAGGCTGTCGTCGTACTCCGACTGCGTCCTCGGCAGCTCCAGGTCCGTTAAGTACTCGGCCAGTCGGTCATACACCTGTGGTAAGGTAAGGGCAAGGTCAGCAGTGTAGTTCAGGTAAAGGTCAGAGAATCGACAGCTCCAGGACGACTCGTTACCAAGCACTGATGACAGATAAGTTTTCAAAACATGGGGTATGGATGAACAGACGAATGAATAGAACTTGGAGCAGCTGCAGCACTAGCAGGGATGATATGAGAATGTTGTTTATCAGAGATGCCTTTCTCATTCATGCTAAACGTACGGCAGAACTTTTCGTCCCAGCTCTAGCGTCAAGTGACACTCAGGCCGTCTCATTAATCTGACCTGGTTGAGCAGCAGCACGATGACCAGGTTGATGGTAGCCGCCGTGGCGTTGGTGAAGAGCATGGCGTAGCTGCTGACGTAGTCGTCCTTGAAGTAGGCCAGCGAGGCCAGCACCGACAGACGGTACAGCACCACGCCCACGATAATGGCGATGGCGACCGTGATCTACGGGTGAGTGCGGGACAGCGGTGAACAGTGGAGGCTGAATGATGCTCAACCGGATTCATCATTCATTTGTAAACACATACTGATAATTCCTGAGCTGAGAGCTCTGATTATATGGGACAACAAAAATTGCTAGCTGGAGCCCATCAAGTGCACCTCAATTTGAGTTATATCCAGGGATGTTTGACAGACAATGACAAGACTTTAAGACAATGACCAATAAAAAATATCACATAAAAAAAGACAATGACAAGACCTTTAGAAGCTGAGAAGAGTATACCTGAAACAATAAATATAAATTCTAGTTTCCACATGATTGTCCATGACCACCCTGTGATATAACTCTCACCAACCCGACAGGATTCCCACAGATGACCTACCAGCAGGAGGATGACTGACACGCTGATCATGATCCGAGGGAAGCGCATCTTCCAGAAACTGACGTGCGGCTCCAGCTGCTTGGTCACCACGTTCACCTAAAAACAAAGAAAATGCCTTCAGGTGCTGCCAAGCATAGCGGAGGCAGCCAACTGAGCTGATCTTCCGGAAGTGTACCTCAGATATTCTGACTCATGCATACTACGATACCTGCATATCTCCATGTAAATCAAGATTCCCAACCGCGAATATCTGAGACTGTGATCATGGTCGAATATGAAATTCCAAAACATGTACACACATAGGGCGATATAATTGTACTAAGCTGTTACAGTCAGACAGACCCATTTTCTACAACCCAATCTGTTGTTCAATTCCAGAACTCCTCATGTCACCCTGACGTCACGTTGTCGTCATTACTCACCTCTTGTTTCAGATCCTTCAGCTTGGTGAGGTACTCGGGCCGGGGGTGTTCCTCTTTGACGTCGAACCCAGTCAGGTCCCAGCGGTGGGTAATCTCAGCCGAGTAGCGCTTCCAGAACTCGAGAAACAGCGCCGCTGTGGTAATCGGGGTACGTGGGATGAGTTAGAGGGGACCGGCCGATACGGGCGGGGAGAAATTTCGGGGACAAGAAAAAAAGCAAAGGACGCTACCTATCAGGGACTATTGCCGGTTACATTACATCAAGGAATCCCATTATTCCACACAACAAAATAGGCTGATAATAGCCTGCCGGCGAAATCATGACTACAAGTTCTACAAAAATAGGAATAAAGTTGAATATTTGTGCTATATAAACGTAACAAAATGTTCCGATGTGTCAGCCGAAACCCCACGCGTATCCCCACGCATCAGAAAAGGCCCGCTTACCCCAGAACGACATGAAGATGGCGAAGAACAGCGTGGACGGGTTGTCGATGAGATAGGTGACCCGCGAGTGGACGCACGTCTCGTTGAGCCGCCAGTAGCCGCAGAATACGTCGCAGATGGGACACATCCAGGTGCCCTCGTCGGCGCAGATGTCGTTACTGAAACCGGCACCAATGAGCTGCTTCCGGGCGCACGGCGGGGGCACGTTACATTGGGGTTAGGCACAATTTTATATATGAGTATAAGGTTAGGTTTATATAAGGCTAAACATAATGTTAGTAACAAACATATTTCGATCAGCTCAATCACTGTGATACAAAGAACTAGACCATAAAGGAATAAAAAGGTGATTTAAACACATACAAATTGTCATAGGTTTCAGCCATTTACCAGCAAGCAACGCAACGCTTCGGTACTGCCATTCAAACTACTACCTCATACAGCCCTCTCCACAGGCACCCCTCCTCACCCGCAGCCCCATTACCCCTCCGACCCCTTCCCCGAATTCTCACGTGGGCACGTCGTCATAGATGGTGATGACTCCGTAGAGGAAGCAGATGATGCCCACGATGGCCGGAGGGATCAGCGCGTACGTGTAGAAGCCCAGCCAGGCGAAGTACATGCCGATCTTGACACCGAAGTAGTCCTCCACATAGTCGAGCGGCTGGTGGCGGTAGAACTTCCGCAGGTTGGCCCACTCGTAATAGAGCAGCGCTCGCGCGTTCCCCAGACGACGGAAGTCACCCTGGGGAAAAACACGGGACGGACGTGATTGGTTTTGGGTGGCTGTCACGTGTTTCAGATAAACTGGGCAGTGGTGAAGGCCGTCGAGGGTAGGGAAATGACATCAACATAACAACGACTCTAATGGGGGAACACGTTGGCACCGTTGACCAAATATGCCATTGCGCCAGGAACGACGAGATATGCATCGATCTTTTGAAAACGTTTCCTGGTCACTCAAACCCCACCCAATTCCGTCCGCTCAGCAGCGACCAATCCTCATAACTTCACGGCCAACACCACTGACCTCATGTGGAGCGTAGCTGGCCATGTAAGTACCATCGGCCAGAAGCTTGTCGATACCAAAGTCCATCTTCGGTTCCTGCGTGGTTGTTTGATGCACGAACCACTTCCGTTTCAAAATGAAAGACACAACGCGAGCGCGCACAGCCGGCGTGAAAAAGTCCTCGGACATATCAAACCTGAAATAAAATGCGGCATCAGTCAAATTGAAGAAAATGGCGAACGGATTGTCCTGATTTGCACGACTTAAACAGCTTCATACAAACATGCAATACATGCAACATAACAACGAAAATAGCATGATCAGTCCGTAATGGCTAAGCAAACCCCCCTTTCCTTGTGAAATCCGAAAATTTCAGCTAAAACAAAACTACGGCAAAAAGAATCAAAAGTAACCACCACTGTCCTTCTCCTCTCATCAACTCACAAGTACTCGCGATCGCGGCTGTAGACGCCAGTGAGGTATTTGTTCTTGGGCGGAAACTTGCGCGGGTTGACCCCAAACATGCCCTTGTCGACAATGTCCACCAGGTCCGTGATCTCCCGGATCACGGGCACCTTCTTGATGAAGTCTTCGTCCGTGTTGAGACCTGCCGGCTGTGGAAGCCATAACGACATGTCACTGTTTATTGGGGCGCTGATTCCTAGATCAGTTTGTGCCAAAAGTGACACGCAACAGGTAGCTGAGCTGACCCTACAGCGATTGTGCTATACTATGTATAATAGGGTGTATCGTCGAATTTTGATTTTTTTTAATCGTCTTCACTACTAAATTTTATTGGTCCCTGGCATGTTTGAAGCCGTAGGATACCAATCAAAAAAATCTGGGACGAAAACCTAGCCTGCTGCGAGCGGTTGAACGGAAGCCTGTCGGGACGGCGCCAGGCGTTGAAGTCTCCCCGTTAGTTACGCGCACACTAGCACCACGCGGCGGCTGGCGCCGTGCCGCCGCGTTCCCGGTCAGCCGTGTTTTAGCGTTCACTGACGGGTCGAGGTGATTATTCTAAGCTTTCCTAAGAAGCTTTCTGCCCCGCAGCTCATTATTGAGCAAGAATATCGCACAAACTGCATAGAACATTGACATGCAGGTTGTCGGCACATAGGAGAAGGGGATGTTTTGGTTAATGCCTCCTTTAATAGGAAGAGATTGTGGAAGAACAACACATTTCTCTTGGAAATTACTCATCCTCCTTCTTCCTACGTGCCTGCTTTAGTAATCGAAGTACCCCTATTGACTCTACGTTCTTGATTCGGCTGTCGATTTTATGCATGGAATTCCGCTATATTATATTTTCTCGCTCAATGTCCCCTGAGCTATATTGAGGCGTCACGGGACAGCAATGCTCAGCTCACAACTGCAGAGAAAAAGTCATTGTGGTCATGCGTTTTGTATGCCAAAATGTGTGAGCCTTGGCGTGTACCAGCAGCCGTTGTCACCATTGTAATTTTCACGACTTTATTTTTATAAGGATGCAATTGCCCACTTCCCAGTTCCCAGACTGGGTTTGGAGATATAGTTTTACAGAAACATTTAGGAATGTCTGTAATGTAAGTTAAAAGCTAATACCGAAAGGAATCCACATATTTTCGAATTTCCTGTTTGCTGTATTGCTTAGTAAATGCCAGACGTCATGATGGCATGGTTGCGATTGATGGTATGCCGGATGGCCAGGGTACGAACTCACGGTAAGTCAGCTTGGCCGGCAGGCATCAACAGGCACAATAGTCTTACACTGATATCGTCACCCTCAGTTATTCGTCACCATTCAGCAGCAGGCCCAGAGCTTCGGGCTTTGAACCGTAAGGCACAGGTGTAGGAGCAAGACATTGTGCCGATTCGAAGGGCTGGAAGGGCAGCCTCGCGGGGGCTGGAATGCGCCTGAGCGGCTGAGACCATCCCATTGGGACGGGGGTGTTCTGGGTGCACTCAGCCGCTCATGCTGGGAAATGCATCCAATGGAGCTCTACCCCATCCCCACCCGTTTCGAATGATTAGGCTGACCTTTAGTCTGGAACAAAGAAGGATGATGGTTGGCTGGTCCCGAGGATAGAAAGGACAGGTAATGACATCACATAATGAATCGAAGACGGCCCCGGCCCGATCCTCTGATAGAGGCTCATCAACACGTATCTCGTTGTGGACCATTTCGTTTTCCTCCACCGTGGTGTTTGCACCGACCTCAACGGGTTGGAAGATTACGATGTTCAGAAACCATTAAGGTCGTAATTGTATATTCGTTGAGTTAGGTTAGCCTTTCCATTCCATGAAGACTACTTTATAATTATTGGATGATAGGATGAGGTTTTGACTGTGTTGAACCTGTCCTACCTGTTCAGTGAACGAATATACAACGAATATACAATTACGATCTTAATGGTTTCTGAACATCGTTACCTTCCAACCCGTTCAGGTCGGTGCAAAAACTACGGTGGGAAATGGTCCACAACGAGATACGTGTTGAACCTCTATCAGAGGATCGGGCCGGGGCCGTCTTCGATTCATTATATGATGTCATTACCTGTCCTTTCTATCCTCGGGACCAGCCAACAGTCATCCTGCCTTGTTCTAGACTAAAGGTCACCCTAATCATTCGAAACGGGGGGATGGGGGGAGAGCTCCATTGGATGCATTTCCCAGCATGAGCGGCTGAGTGCACCCAGAACACCCCCGTCCCAATGGGATGGTCTCAGCCACTCAGGCGCATTCCAGCCCCCGCGATGCTGCCCTTCCAGCCCTTCGAATCGGCACAATGTCTTGCTCCTACACCTGTACCTTACGGTTCAAAGCCCGAAGCTCTGGGCCTGCTGCTGAATGGTGACGAATAACTGAGGGTGACAATATCAGTGTAAGACTATTGTGCCTGTTGATGCCTGCCGGCCAAGCTGACTTACCGTGAGTTCGTACCCTGACCATCCGACATACCATCAATCGCAACCATGCCATCATGACGTCTGGCATGACGTAAGCAATACAGCATACAGGAAATCGAAAATATGTGGATTCCTTTCGGTATTCGCTTTAACTTACATTACAGACATTCCCAAATGTTTCTGTAAAACTATAATATCTCCAAACCCAGTCTGGGAACTAGGAAGTGGAAAATTGCATCCTTATAAAGATAAAGTCGTGAAAATTACAATGGTGACAACGGCTGCTGGTACACACCAAGGCTCACACATTTTGGCATACAAAACGCATGGCCACATTGACTTTTTCTCTGCGGTTGTGTGCTGAGCATTGCTGTCCCGTGACGCCTCAATATAGCTCAGGAGACATTTAGCGAGAAAATATAATATAGCGGAATTCCATGCATAAAATCCACAGCCGAATCAAGAACGTAGAGTCAATAGGGGTAGTTCGATTACTAAAGCAGGCACGTAGGAAGAAGGAGGATGAGTAATTTCCAAAAGAAATGTGTTGTTCTTCCACAATCTCTTCCTATTAAAGGAGGCATTAACCAAAACATCCCCTTCTCCTATGTGCCGACAACCTGCATGTCAATGTTCTATGCAGTTTGTGCGATATTCTTGCTCAATAATGAGCTGCAGGGCAGAAAGCTTCTTAGGAAAGCTTAGAATAATCACCTCGACCCGTCAGTGAACGCTAAAACACGGCTGACCGGGAACGCGGCGGCACGGCGCCAGCCGCCGCGTGGTGCTAGTGTGCGCGTAACTAACGGGGAGACTTCAACGCCTGGCGCCGTCCCGACAGGCTTCCGTTCAACCGCTCGCAGCAGGCTAAGTTTTCGTCCCAGATTTTTTTGATTGGTATCTTACGGCTTCAAACATGCCAGGGACCAATAAAATTTAGTAGTGAAGACGATTAAAAAAAATCAAAATTCGACGATACACCCTAAATTGTATATCTATCCAAAGTATTTCTACTATTCAATGTCAATCAACCCCTGCAAGACATACTTGGACCCGGTCGACCGTCGACGGCTCTATGTCAGTGCCATCTCTACATGGCCCAGCTGGATCACTGACCTCCTTCATGGGCATGCGGACTTTGAGGATCTCTGCGTATCGCTGCAGCACCTCCCACGGCGTGTGGATCTTGACGAACGTCAGCGGACTGTTCTCGTCAATCTTCTCCTCCTCCAGGTGCAGGCCCTCCTTCCTCTGGTTAACAGCAGAGCAAACAATTAGCAAAATTGGCGAAAGAACAGTAAAGAAAGCATGAAAAATGTAGTTCATTAACGATTCAAGCTATAAGTAGGCATGGATTGCGAAAGCCAAGAGAAAACTGGATGACAGAGCTTCCTTGGCGCTAATTAGTGCGTAAAATATCCTCAACACACCAGGTTTTCCTCGTAGATTTTCTGCCGCAGCTCGTGGTCGATCCCGTCATCGCTATCTTCCCTGATGCACGTGCGCACCAGCACAAAATCGATCTTGCTTGTCCCATCCTTGAAGTACTGATCGGGAAGATACTGAGGAAAGATCCAAATGTCAAAATGTTGACAAAACTAAGAAACAACGAGCCAGGCAAAGGCAAAAGTTCAATGCCCTGAGTGCATCCATGCATTAGTGTTTATTCCAACATTCACCGTGCCTTTCACGCAAAAAGCAAAAATGCCACAAACGTCGATAAAACCGAACCAAGTAGCAGTTGGAAAATACAAAGTCACAACGACCGGTAAAGATGTTTCATGCATTTTAGACACAGCGTGGGTTTGACTATACACTCAAAATTAGCATACATGACTTCGATTGGTTATTACGCGAGGAAGCGAGCGTTCAAAAATCAACCGCTTACGAAAGTAAGCATAGATAAATAAGCGACTGTTCATATGCACGCATTGCGACCCGTCCTAAATTCGGTTATAGGTCTCGCCCTAAGCAGCGACATCGTACGATGAAAGCTGTTGATGTCTCCCACTTGGTACGTACAAATTGGACGATGTTTGTTCTGTTGTTCATATGCTGCTCAAAGTATTTGAACATCATTTTTACAAGGCGAGAGGATTTGAAAAGCGCGAAAAGAAATATAACACTGAAAAATAAACGTTAATTTAGAAAGTGCATGTAAGTTACATGCGTCGGTATTGTCTACGTAAACAATGCGAACAATGCAAACGAACGCCGCGTCGAGCGCTAAAATTCGTCGATTTGATAAAACATTAAAGCAGCACGTGCCAAGACCGTTCCCTATTCTCCATGGGGGTAATCATGTGAATTGTGTGGGTGCTGGCTCTAGAAGCATTGTACATATATAAAAAAGAGCGAATATTATACTGACTTCCAGAAAATACTCGTAAACCAAAAATTGCTCGTTTTGCTCATGAACCGGCATCTGGCTGCCATCGGTTACCCGATTCGAATACTTTCTGGACACATTTCGCCATTTAACGATAAAACAACAAACGAAATTTGAACATGCGCTTATCATCATGAACAGGAAAAGGGTTACCGCCTATGGTGTCCTTTAACCCCCTCATGTGAAATGTACTTGATTCTAGCATTTATCATCAGTTCACATTTTTAACGGTGAAATTTCACGGCATGGCGGGCAGGATACTCAGCTATGCATAAACAATACATGACTGGCACGTCCCAAGCACCCAGCCATCAGTAATGCCTGAAACAGACTCTTTCCGCAGTCAGGAAGTCGCATGCGAGAGCCTATTCAAATACATGGAAGCACGCTCGCATCAATCGCACGCACCTCCCGGATGCGATTGATGCGGAAAGAATTATAATGTATTTGAATAGGCTCTCGCATGCGATTTCCTGAACGCAGAAAGAGTCTGTTTCAGCCTTTATACACCATACAAGTACAATGCAAGATCTGACAGACACGTTAGTAAGCACCAGCGAGCCGCCACCAGGCTCCCTGCAACCAAAATAATACACAATCGCGGTTAGTAGCCAACGCCAGCAGATACAGAACTGGACAAATTGCGCCGCGTAAAAATACCGTATTACAGAGCTGTCTATGAATAAGCAAGGACGAAACCAAAGAAATTTATAAGACCTCGCCAATGCGAACAGTTTTGAAATTGAGCCCGTCTAGTGGTAGCTGAGGGGAGGGAAATTGGAGATATAGTAGTAGATCCAGGAATCGCTTGAACACTACGTAGTCTTATGCATTGGACACTCGAACCAGTCCTTATTTTGAAAATGGGGACAACTCGGCACTCGCAATCATGATTACTGGAGCAAATATTACTGTTCCGAAATTCGCCTATCCTTTTTCCGTTTCCTTCACGTTGTCTCCCTTTTCCGGTGCTCCGTGTGTTGCGATTAAATGCAACAATTAGCGTCTGATGGTGTCTCTCTTTATCCATATTTATACCCAGTTTCCCCAGCTCGAGCCTCCGTAGAGATTCTGAAGCAAAACCGAGTTCACGGGCCTGATACACATACACCAAAGTGTAGATAATCTTAGCTCTACACTAGATCAAGAGATGCTCAGCCAGACCGACGGCAGATGCTGTGCTATGGCAATTATAAAAAAAAAACATAAAGTTCGAATGTTTTGAATGGGCAGGCTGACAGTTCTCAAACTATTCGCATTGGGGAAGTCCGTCACACACCAACATTGCTGTCACATTGACCGCTAATTTTCCAAACCCGCGGCGAAATTTGTCCCCTCTCTCCTCTGCGTTTCACCTGACCACCTGCGGAGCTCCAATAATTCCGTTAGACGAGCGGAGTGCGGGCGCGGCGTTAGTGCTAGTACTTGCCTCAGCCATTGGCGACATCCTCCAGGCTTTGTTTACCTTCTGCTTCGGCCTGGAGTCGCCGTTGCCGGCGCCCAAGTCGTTCATCTCTACATCGTCGGCCTCGTCGGCGGCGATGGGCGCCGTCGAGTCGTCGCCCGAGGCCATGGCGACGTCGGAGGCGGCGGGCGTCCCCTACGGCGGCGGAGCGGGTCAGAGAGGGGACGGTGGCGGTCAGGTCCCGATCCCGAGGACGTCTGGCCACGTACTGGCGGCAGCGGCGAGATAGGAGACGATGGAAGAGAGGAGAGAGGGCAGAGGAGGGGAGTAATCTGTCTGCCTCGATAGTGGAGTGGTTAGAACCGTGGACTATCACCGGGGAAACCCGAATTCGATTCCCGCTGACTACAGGAGCTTTCGAACGGTATGACGCGTACGGCGCAACGCCACCAACATCCAGGTCCTTCTAAGGGCCAAAGAACACCTGACGACGGCCGGAGAAGTAACTGGCCGAAACGTTGTGAAACTAACATCTCAACTCAAGACGGGGACGAAAGTCCGACAACTAACATCTTGGAAATGAATCCGTAGCCCGCACCATTTATTTGAACCCTTCCGCTATTTCATCATATTTTCCCAAAAATCTTTTATTTCAATGCCTTGAGTGCACTGGAAAAAAACGAGCTGCATGGTATATGAACGAACCATAACAAACTACGCACAACTGCTATTTTAGCAGGGATTCGGCGACGTTCATCCTCACGAACTGGCCCTGTCACCCGTCACACCGGGCCGGCCAGGTGCCGGTTCCTGGTCACCCCCCCCCCCATCCACGTCACTCAGTTCCGACCACAGTTCTGCAGCACAGCATATCACTCAGACGAGCAGATGGGCAGAGAGGAGGGGAGGGGCAATACCAGTTCCACGCCGACGACCGCCGTGCCGACAGCCAGATTTTATTCTTGGCACAATGCCAGGAAACGAGCGACGGCGGAGCGGCCGCGGCCCGGTGTGGTGGGTGGGATGGGGAGGGGGGGGGGCGTTTAGGATATGCGCGCACAGGTCATCACTTAGCGCCTAGGTGCTGGACCTGAGTCACCTCCAAGGTCATCCCAGCGGTGCTGAACAAAGAACATTCGAGCTCTCGCTTGTTGAAAAAGTCTCAAACTAGTAAAAAGGTCAAATTTTGGTGCAATATTGAAGAGTATACATTATACAAACTATGTTTAAATGTATGGATGGAGTTTAGTTTGGTATTTTCAAAGGTTGAACTAACCCTGAACAATATTTTTCCATTTTCATATGAATTAACCTGCCATACAATAATTGGTCCCTTCTCCTTATACCTTCAATACTCCACTGTGCAAGATTGGAGAGGTAGTCACTCCAAACTAAAGGCTAGTTCTCCTATCCCAACTGGCAACTACCCAGTCTCCATCACACATTTTCTGTTGTGATGTTCTATTTTTTATGGACTTAAAAATGCAAAAAATTCAATCTCATCATCACAATATCATTCAGCACAATGCTGTTGAAGCAACTGGCAAATCACTGATCAAGCAATCTTGGATCAAAATGGGCCTCTCTTCTGAACAGTAAAGGTGCATTATAAGCCAGTCCCAGTCTCTAGGGGCTGCTGGGAGTTGAGACAGGGATGTGCTGGCAAAAAAGGCAAATCATTGAATAAATTCAGCAACTGATAGACAAACTGCCTTATAATTTCTCAACCTCTGAAGTAATTTCCTACCAGAGGTTATGAATACAATGACTGCTAATGCCAAGCCTTTTAATTCTGTAAAAAAAAAAACAGCACAGTTTGTCAATCATGGGCATCACCACTGAAGACAAAATGTTGTTGAACACATTGACATGTTTCAAAATTGTATCTTTTTCTAAAATCACCTTCCCTGATACTTGATACATAGGTACTATTGATTTGATTTACAGTGAACCATTAAATTTGTACTGATTTTCTCAAAAGATGAGCTTCTTGACAAGCAAAACATCACTTTTATAAAGCGAAGATTGAGGGCTTAAGCCAGTCTGCAAAACGTGGCAGCCAGCTCGACGAGGTGTTTGGGGCAGCCGGAATCCCGCCCCAAATGGGGCAGTTGACTTCCGGGCAGCCCAATTTCTGCCCCAAATGGGGCATCTACTCGGGGCAGGTTAGGTTATGCCCTAAATGAACTACCTATATATGGCATAAAACCACACATATTAATACATCACCCGCGCTAATGCTGAAGTCGGTCGCGGTTGAAACTCTAAACAATTTTTTTACAAAAGGATCTGCTCATTGATCAAGGTTAGAGATAAAGCAGCTAGTGGCTAGTGCTCCGGTTAAAATATGATGATGACGCAGTTAGGGTGCAAAACTGCCTCATGTTGCCATGGCAACAGCGAATCAATCTGGAGCGAGGGGCGCATTTTGTATTTGCAACCAAAGATAGGCGCTACCCGAGTCCCGAACAATGCCCCAGCCCGCAATGCATAATTGAAAAACTGAAATTACACCTTGTCTCGGGCTCGGCGGTGATCAGCTAGCTTGATGGCTTGGTTTCAAGTGTGCCGAGCCGAGTGTGCTAGTCTCGTAATCTGTAGGTCGCCGGTCGCGTGTTCGCGGCCGGCGCCACTTAAGTAGGTACTGGTATCATTTGGCCGGACGGCAACTATGTGAGGCCTGAGGGTTATACGGCACATTTATGAGTGTTCGATTAGGCTAGGGCCCTGTTTCACCGGTGATAGCAGCACGCTGCTTTTACACGTGTCAAATTGGGTTTCCATGGAAACATCAACAGGCCCATTGCTCCAACACTACCACAAGTGTGACGTCAGCTCGCGCAATTTGATAGCAGCGTGGTAGCAGCGTCCCGTGAAACACCGCCTAGGTATGGTTTGGTTTGATTTGATTTGATTCGATTTGGTTAGGCTAGAAAGGAGTTAGCTCCGGGAGCACCTTTCCTTGGTTGCTAACACGGCGCGTGAAACATTCATAGCCCTGATGAAGGGAAGTTTGAATATGGCAGCAGTTTTAAATGACAATTTCTGCGCTTTAGCGACGATTGTGGCGCAGCCCACTTTTTCTCGCGCGTTTCAACACTACTCCGCTTCTTTATTAATTTTTTCCCGGTGCCGTGTGCCCCGCCCCGGTCCGCCCCGACTGCAAATGGTCTGCCCCGGAATCGCCGTACTGTGCCCCGACTTCTCAAAAGCTGCCCCGATTTCTGCCCCTGCCCCACTGTGTCTGCCCCGACGAGATCTCGTCGAACCCTGCCACGTTTTGCAGACTGGGGCTTAACCCGCGCCCCGTAGGGGGGGGCCGAAACGGCCCCCCCCCCTGTCCTTTTCGGTCGATATCTCCTAAACGGCTAGAGATATCGCCACCAAACTTTCAGGACCCCTCCGGGCATCAATTTTACACATTGTGACCAAAAATTTTTCCAGAGGCTATGATAGGTTGGCCACAAATGACGTCAGAGTGACGTCATGTTCTGTCATTTTCGACCGAAAAAAGACCTTCGCAAGAAGACCTGTCAGGACTACAGCTTTGAAGATACAGAAAAATGATCAAGACATAAAAGGTGTAGAATTGACAGGGCTACAAAACTGCCATCTCGAATTTTTGAAATTTTTGAGTTTTGACCCCCAAAAATCAAAAAAACGTTTTTTTTATATATTCGCCAAAAAATCCAAAACGTTTTTTGAGTTTCGAAAAAACCGGAATATATGTGATAGTGCCTACCGTCTTCTATCTACATACCAAATTTCAGATCGATACCTCGTTTTTTGGCCAAGTTATAGCGAAAAAACTGTTCAAAAATGATGACGTCAAATTTTCAAACTCAATTTTTGGCAATTCTAGAACTCGTAGAGCAAAACGAAGACCACCATTAGACTCCCCGTGACGAGCTGCATCGAATCGATACCCATTTTATGCAAAAATATCAACTTTGAAATTTGACCTAATTTGACCTGACCTTGACCTGACCTTCACAAAAACGTGACCTAGGCTGGCCCCAAAGGCTGCCTAACCCACATAATCGCATTTGTCATGTAAAATGGACCATAAAACATGTATCACACGACACATTCATATTGTGACCCCCGGTGACCTGACCTCGCTGTGACCTGACCTGGTATCAGTGACCTCAGATAGCAAAGTATGTGTTTGACGAACAATGTACCATCGATGGTTTTCAATAAATTACCAATTTACTCGCTTTCACAGCACATTTCTTGAATTGCCTGTGAACGGTGAAAATCTGACCTTTGACCTGACCTGTGACGTCATCGGTTTGACCTAGGTCAATGAAATTTGGTCACAAGGTAGTTCCCGAGTGGGGCTATCGAACGCCGTTTGAATTTTGAAAATCGGCCGGTAACTTTCCGAGATCTTAGGGGGGGCCGAAACGGCCCCCCCCCCCCTACGGGTGGTAGGGTCCGCCGGTAGCCCTACGGGGCGCGGGTTAAGTGAGTTCATGCTGAGTGACGTAAGACATCCTTTTCATCTGCCTGTCCTTAGGAAATTGAAATTGACTGGTTATCCTTGTCCAGGGGCACACACATTGGCATGCACAGTACAATACTCAAGCATATAGCAAAAGTCATCCACACAACTTTTCGAAACATGCAAAAAACTTGCTTTGAATTGCGGGTGAGGAGGGTTTCGATCAGGGTCAGTCAGGGCGGGGCTTCGTTCCCTATGCTTTGATCAGAAGTGTGAACAAAATGATCATTATCGCATGGTACCAGCGAATATTTATAAGCGTCTGCATGTGAAATGCCCATTCGCAACAAATGGATTGACTCACCCAAATAAATACCCTGGATTTCTTCCAGCACCCACCCGGCGGACGCGCGCGTACCGCCCCCGCGCGCCACGTTTTGTGCGTCAAGGATTGTTGTTTACTTGAGGAGGGGCGGAATATGGCAGCTTTGTAGTTGCTACTGTGCGTTTGAAAAACTACCACAACGTAGTGTTTTTTTTAGAAAAACCACGAGCGTCGGCGTCTAACGTATATAAAAATCCTGCATGAAAAGAGCGGAAAACACCGTTCCGTGCTTCTATCCTCAGGATACTGAAATCCTTCTCCTCCACGCCGCAACCCCCTCCGGGCTGGACAGGCAACTTTATCTCATGCGGGCTGCTCCCTTGGAGCGGCACAGCTGCTCCCGAGGGAGCGCACCCCGTAGCCGGGTGCAGAGAGTGCTTGGGGGCTGGTCGGCCTGTCCATTTGGACGGGCTCAGCCCCGGCGACTCTCTAGGGTGCCTGCCCAGACCAATGTCTCCCCCTAATTCCTATCATCCTTCCGGCTCTGAAATGGTCTTGTCAGACCGAAAGGGCCAGCCCAACAAAACAAACAAACAAACAAACAAAGAGCGGAAAAGAGCATGGTCCTAAAAAACATAACCTAACCTGGCCTAAATCAAATTAACCTAACTAAATCCACCCCGCATATGCTGTGTGCCTGCTTGCCCTAACATGGAACCAAAAGTCGGCAGTGCCCCCTCCCCCTTAATTGAAGGTGTTCCACTCCACCGCCTCTGGCAATGCGCATTGCCCCACGAGGCAAAAATGATTGATGTTACGGTGAACGGCTACATTTCGAAGCTGAATAAGGATCAGCAATGAGCATAGCTGATACAAAACCCTCTGCTTCCTCCAATGTCTCATATCTACTCTTCCCCAGCCCAGTGCGCTGAGCTCTCACACGGCACACCCCACATTAGAACGCCCCATAGGTATCCCTATTCCGGGCTGGACGGTCACCATCATATCCGCGGCGTAGGTAATAGGTATATAATATGTATATTGAAATCCACTCTCATGCTCTTTTCATGATGGATTTCACTGTACGCCACGAGATGTAACTCCCGCTCACCGCTAAGCATGCTAACGTGCGATGAGATGACCCGGGCGGGGTCAGGGGTGGGCTGTCCCTCGGGTCGAAGTCGGTCACGGCGACGCACTATGGTGGCCCGCAGCTGCCCAGACCAATACGTATGAAGTCTCGAGTATTATCCTGAAGTATACCTACGTAACATCCTGCCACATCTTCCCCCTGGTGACGTCACCTCGGTCCTCATTCGGTCTGACTGACCGTTCGTCCAGGTTGCTTAGTCAAGAGTAAGAGCTCAAAAGTTTGGCTCTTATCACCTGCCGTGTAAGGTATGTTAATTGGTCATCCTGCGTCTTGTTCCGTCGAACCCTTTCTGTTCTCCTGGCCAGAAGAGGTCAAACCATCACAAACAGTTGGTATATTGCCAGATCCATGAACCACAGGGACACACAAGCAAAAACTACAATTCACCGAAGAACTGTGACAGGAACGTGGGACTCACGGCAAATAAAATGAGACACAAACGTATCCTTTTTCAACATTCAGCTAACGCACGTGGCAGTCACCTAGTCTCCCTCGGAGGGCCATCGTTCGCGTTTACATTCAATATCCATGACTGGTAGAGCCTTTCGGGGAATGATGCGCCAGATATCTATAATATGTAACATGACCTATTTACAACGATCAACAATAACACAATAACATATCTAGACTACATTATCACTAACGCCATAATATTCACGCTATATACCTATGGCATGCAGTACTTAACGATTATAAAGAGCCTAGCAGATAATCACCGCACCACATATTTAACTAATGTCTGGTGTCAGACTTTGACTTCCGTTTAGCTAGCCAACGACGCCTATTATAACACGCACCACAAAGAGATGGCTAAATCTCCATCATTGAAACCCAGAACGCGCCAGTTACACATGCAAGACGCATTCTGGCTAACTTTATCGCACATTTGTACACACTTAACACCACAAATAATATATGTAGCAAGCCTGTAAATGCTATGGGAAAATAAACGATCAACCATTAGCATGATGGCGATGCAACGGAAGCTATTATAGATTCCATCGCAAGCAGACTGGTTTTTGATTCACCTTTTTTGGATCGATTCAATCATTGATTCATTTGATTTTTGTTTGATTCAATCACCGTTTGATTCGACTTCAAAAAATTTGGTGAATCGATTCCTTTTGATTCAGAGAATAAAAAAAGAAATAAAAGGAATGATTCACGTTTGATTCAGCCAATTTTTTTTGGAATGATTCTTTTTTTATTCAATTAAAAAATAAAATATACAAAATATCAGGGATAGTATTGTATTTGTTGTGTTCTTTTTGTTGTCATGTAATGGCAGTAGTGTTAATATTTGTTGATAATGAACTATGTTCGTTCACTTCAATTTTTTTTAAGTTCATGAATCATTAATTTTTTTATTTAATCAACCCTTATTCCCAATGCGTTTGATTCAATCATGGCTTGTGAATCAAACAATCCTGACGGTGAATCAAACCTTTTTGATTCAACAAATTTTGTTTGATTCAATCCAATCGATTCAATCACAGATGAATCAAACACCAGTCTGATCGCAAGCCGCAAGAAATCGATTTTCGCATAACCACATACCAAACATCCATGCTTTAACTTATGATGCCATCCGTGGCCTTCCATATTTTGCCGACCAACAGACTCAAGGAACGAACAATTGGAAAATTGGGAATTGTACGAATCCTCTTTTTACGTACCTAAAACTGATTTTCATCCGATTTCTGCACGAAACCATAGCAATGAGACGGTTTAAAATTTACAAATCCTCGGTTATATCGCTTATTATGTGTGCTAAAAATACCCTTCAGAGTTCAGTCAGGGTATAACAATTTCTTGTCGATGATTCTATCACAAACATGAAGCAGCAGTATTCCTCCGGAAGCATGACATTTGTAAAAATACTATTTGGTATTACTTATAAGCCGTGAGCCATGACATTACCATGTAAAATAAAAGAGTACGCTACATCAGGCTTTCACTGCAAATACCAATGCCTGAATTATGAATAAGGTCACCGTTTTGAAGACCCACTAATTACGATAAATGTGTTCCTTGGATAACAAATCGAAGCTTAATCTATTGATTTATGGTATCGCTGATCACAGATAAAATATAGGTATGTACAGTGTACACGCATTACATAACCACATCACGGTGGCTAAGCTCATTCGGTCGCGGTCCAAATTGAAATAATTTGAGGGTAATGACTATTGACATGAGGAAAAGAGGGGAGGCAATGACAATGTCATTGCTGAGTCGACCACCGAATAGGTATGGCTTTTCAGATTATTTGATGGAACCAGAGGTAACAAAATGATAGGTGAATGATGACAGTGGTCGCCACGCTCCACTAATGACTACGACTAGCCCGGCTGACAAATTACTTCCGTATGAGTTTGTTCTACACCTCGATTAATTATAACATCTTATGCCACCTCACTGAAAATGAGACAACGAAGAACAATAACATTTATATCTTTTGTCGTTAGGTCCAACTAGAATGCTGAAACATTAAACCGGTGTCGCTCGTTCATGAGTCAAAATTGATCAATTTATGTGGCCTATCGGACTTTGGATGGGAAAATATTTTAACGAAAACATTACATCTAAAGAAAGCGTTAGCCGATTCCTTTCACCATTCATCGTTTGATCGCGACTGAAAACCCTACACAGGTGACAGTCACTCAATGACACGTCGTTAAGTAAAATTCGGAAGGTCCAAGATTCGGGTAGAGCCAATTTGCGACCAGCACGACTTCCTCGCATTAGATGAGGTATCGTCAATCATGGAAAGGAATCGATCGCAAAGTACTCGTTAAGTTTTACAGACAACACAAGAGAAAGCATAATGAACAATGAACATACTGCACAGTGCGAGTTGGAACGGTAACTTACCAAACGCTGTTCTGCCCGAACCCTGCATAACGGAAATTCTTCACTTCGTTGCATTTGGTCGCCCAAAACAGCTTGTTCTTGATCTGTTGGCACATTTGGAATGCTCGTGTGTAACAGATTAGAATGCTGTTCAGCTTGGAGACTGTACACTCGGCGAGAAACGAGTCGAAGCGCATGTTGCCCTGCTGTGAGACCAGGTGGTAGACGGCCAGCATCAGCCGGTGGCCCTGTACGTAGAAGCTGACGGCGGTGTCTCCGGGCAGCGCCGGGTTCAGCGCCTTCATGTTCTCGCTGTTGAGGTGGTCCTCGATGGTCTTTTTGCGCGGGCTGAGCAGGCAGTCGCGGCCGCGCTTCAGCACCATCATCAGCTCGTCCATGATGACGCCCAGGCGGGCGGCGATGAAGCGCAGCAGCTGGACGTCCGGCTCCGTTTTGGCGTCGTCGGCGGCCAGCCGCTGGCGCAACTGCGCCGCCTCGCGAACCTTCCGCCGGGCCTCAGCCAGGAAGTTGCCGGAATCCTGAATCTGTGTCAGCACCCATGGTTTGTCCTGGTTGATGGATGTCTTGTGTATGGTGTTGGGGTGCTTTTGAATTTTTATCTGCAGTTCAGCCTGGACTATGAGGTTACCCTGCAACACTAGTACACACTTGGCTGTGTCATTAGAGCTCTGGTTGGCTGCCTGCTGCATCACAAACCGCTCCTGGCGAGCCTGTGCTTCATGAGGGTCCTGCAGCAGTGATGGAAACAGCTCTATACACTCCTCAATGGTGTCAGAGATCTGCTTTAGTGAGCGAAATACCTCTTGTGAGAGAAACCAGCACGCCTCACTGTCTGGCCAAGCTGATGTTTCCATAATGCCCCTACCCATGCTAGATCTGTGAGTGGGTACTGGGTATACTCAGTAAAAAGAAAGGGTCTGATAATCTTCAGCTCAAAACTTGCTGCTATGTGACTTCATTCATCCAAGCTACCTGAAAAAACATCCCAGATTGAGTAACATTGAAGAAATTGAGAGTAAATATACGCACAATAATTTGCACATAATGCCTAATGTCTATCCCTTCAACGCTACACATTACAGAAAATCCAGCAAAGCAGAGGAATCCAATTAAACACAATAAGTACAAGTGTTATTGTATTTAGCTTCAAAGCAAATAAATTTGGTACCTATGGTAAGTAGAAGGTTAGTTGATTAGTCCTTGGTATACAGAGAAATTGAGGAAAGGTTAGGTCAGGTTAGATTGTTTTTATCTGCTCAGACTTCATCTTCACGTTTAAACAGACTTTCTGCATTCAGGAAATCACATGCGAGAGCCTATTCATATGCATTATACTTCTTCCCGTATCAATGGCATGCCGGAGGTGCATGCAATTGATGTGGTATAAGTAAGCCTGGCTTCCCAGGAAGATGCCAGTTACCATTGTAGGTTGTAGGTTTGCTGGTTTGTAGGGTAGGTTATAGGTTTGTAGGTTTGCAGGTTTGTAGGTTGATAGGTAAGGTTAGGTCAGGTCAAATTAGGTTGTTTTGGTCTATATATCTCCATCGTCCCAATCTGCCATCTTACTGGGAGTTGGGACGCCAGGCTTACTAATACCATTGATGTGAGCATTCTTCCATCTCAATGTATTTGAATAAGCTCTCGCATGAGACTTCATGACTGCGGAAAGAGTCTGTTTTAGGCTTTACCGCAAATTCAAATTGTTACTCGCAGGCTATAGCAACAAATTTAAAATTAAAAGGCATTAACTGCTTTGTGATCACCTACAATAAACAATTTCACCTACAATTTTGATGACTCGCTCAAATTATTTAACGTAGAAACTAGAAATTCATAAAGCTTTGATCCCCCTCAGACTTATTTAAATCAGCCAGAATCTATTGCTATGATAATTGATAACTACCTACCTATCACTATGGCATTTCCATTAAAAAATAACCGTAGAATTCGTTGATATTTGTAGTACCTTTATCAAAATTAAAGCGAAAACAACGCATTAAAAGAACAGAGACACAACACACCACCGACACAAAAGACACACGCACGCATTTCACATTTGACAACAACAAACAAATTATGGGCTCAAGAGCATTATAAAACCGAAAAAATAAAGCTGAAAAAGTTAAGTCGGCTAGATATGATTTGAACTTGCAAAGTCACATAATAATAAATAAATTTAAGATTATATCCGATCTATTTTTGAAAATTCAGTGTCTGTATTTGAAACAAAACACCAGAATCCATATGACTGTGCATATGACCACTAGGCTTCTCGTAGCTATTATCGACTTCTTGCAAATGATAGGCAAGGACACTTTTGCGGCAATTGTGAATAATTGCAATTTGTGATTGGAGGGCCTTGGATTGGAGGGATTGGAGCATTGGAGGCGAGTTTTGATATTTTACATTTTATTTTGTGTATTGTTTGCTATATGGTGTATTATGATTTATGCATTCAACTGCATATAATGAAAACCTTCGTGTGACGTCTGCTCTACTAATACCTTTTTTTTTTAATTGAAATTGTTTTGCTGTTATTGCAGATATAATGCACCATCTCCATCTCAAATGGAATTTCATTGTGCATTTTCATGTATTTTCATGGAAGTTGGTGGTGTATAGCTAGGTAATGTGCTACATTTGTAAAAAACTGTGACATGCAGGCTATTGATCTTCAACTTTCAAGTTTTCATGGGAGGTGTTATGGGTCATCTCCCTCTTTTGCACTCTTAAAAGTGAAGAGATTCACCAAAAAAATATCATGAAAAGAAAGAACACATCCTTCTAAGGTAGAAAAGTGAGATCACACATCAATACTTATGATACTTTTTACCTTACCTTACCTTACCTTACCTTACTGTTGGCGGGACTTTGGGAGGCCTTACCTTACCTTACCTTACTGTTGGCGGGACTTTTGGACCCGTTCTCATCGAGCTCTTTGAATCTCGGTTATTGCTCTAGCTTAAGTAGGTATGTCATAAATATGATCAGACCAGTGACTATCAAGCCGGTTCTTGAACTCGTTAGCAGAGGTCGCCGTCACGACGTGGGGAGGCAGGGAGTTCCAGTCGTTTAGCGCCCGGACGCTCCAGTGGTTTCTCCGAGCTCTTGTCAGCGCTGTCGGTTTCGCTAGCTTCATGGAGTGACCTCTGGTGCTTGTAGAAGGAGCCGGCTGGAAGAAGTCGTCCTTTGCCAGGTTGAGGTGGTCGTTCATCAGCATGTACACCATGATGACGTCACCTCTGCGTCGTCTGTAGAGCAGGGATGGAAGCTTGAGTTTGCTGAGGCGCTCCTGATACGGAAGATGACGGATCTCCGCGACAAGCCGGGTAGCTCGGCGCTGTACTCGCTCCACAAGAAGCTGGTCTTCCTTGTTAAAGGGTCCCCAGGCAATGTTCCCATACTCCAGGTGGGGGCGCACCAGCGTCTTGAAGAGAAGGGGTAACGTCTGAGTGTCCAGCAGCTCGAAGGAACGCCTGACGATCCCCAGGATCTGGTTTGCCTTCTTGATGGCCGTGGCAGCCTGCTTCCGAAACTTCAGCTGCTCGTCGACGATGACTCCCAGATCCTTCTCCTCCCCAACTTGTGCGACAGGGGCTCCAAGCAGGGAGTACTCGTGTCTGGGATTGCCGGACCCCAGATGCAGGACCTTACATTTCCTCTGATTAAAAGGCAGCAGCCAAGTCGTGGACCAGTGTTCGAGTCTTTCCAGGTCCAATTGCATCTGGGTGCGGCCCTGGGTTCCTTCCAGCCAAGGACTCGCATACAGTTTTGCGTCGTCCGCGAAGAGCTTGATATGGCATTTGACACAATCGGGGAGGTCGTTGACGAAGACAACGAAGAGAGTCGGGCCCAGGACCGAACCTTGAGGGATGCCGCTCCTTACTGAAACAGGAGCAGACCTGGCACCGTTCACGACTACTTGCTGACTGCGTCCGGTGAGGAAGGCCTCGATCCACTTCAGCAGATTCCCTCGAACCCCAAGGCTGTGCAGCTTCCGAAGTAGGCGCTGGTGGGGGACGGAGTCGAACGCCTTTCGGAAATCGAGGTAGGCGACGTCAACTGGCTCCTTATTCTCAATCAGCCGCGTCCAGTCCTAAACAAAACAAAACATTTACACAAAAAACTTTTACACAAAACATTTATAAGTTACACCCAAACGTGCATTGAGCCGTGTAAGATGTGGTACCTATATGGTGCCAATTTCCACCACAGTCCACAGGCACCCTACCGATACCCCAATCATTATCATCATAATCACTTTATCACAAAATATAAAAAAGGCAAAGGAGTTCCAAAACATCACTTCATAAAATAGAGGAGATAGAACCAACTAATGCTCTACCAACTGAGCTATGGGACAGGTTTTGCAATATGAAACAGTCTTTCTTTTAATGAAGCAGTTAAGTTTTTCTAAGTGAAAAATTGAAATAACATAGTCAATATTTTATCCTGGATAGGGATACAGCGCCCGTCTCCCTTTGGATCTGCCAATGCATACATCACAAGTTATTTTTAGATATCCCAAAATAAATATACATATTGTATAGTAGACCAGCTCCAGTCAGTAACTTGCCAACTAGGCCAGATCAACCAGATGGCAGGCATGCCATCATCCCCCCCCCCCATCCCCCTCCCAAGTCTGCAGCGTGGCAGCCCGCCGGAGCTGAGATCACTCGTATAACATCCGCCCGGCTCCTGTTACTGCCCCTCCTTCCCCTCCTTCCCCTCCCCCCTCCCCCGCTGACACTGGTGTCGTGTGCCCTCAGTCGCTGCACCAGTGAGTCGCCATGTCCAGCGTCGGAGGCCTGCCGCCCATGTCCGCGCCGTCCGCGGGGGCCGACGGCACGGAGGAAGTGGAGCTGGGAGACGCCTCCCCAGTAGTGGACGGAGGTGGCGGCGCCGGCCAACCGGGTTCCGACGGATGGTCCCGGCCGACTCCGCCCTCGTCGCTGCCCGGAATCACACGTGAGTTACTGCCTGAAGCCAGTTGGGAGTTCGTGCCGGGAGTTACTTGCGAGCTATGTCCTAATCGTCCCTGCTCAGATTGACACGAGAGTCACCTATCGGTAACCGGAGTCACGTGTGTTGCGCGGGGGGGGGAGTTCAACTGTTTGTTCGTCGCCTGGCTTTGCATCACTTATGTAGTTTGGCTGGGGTCATTTACGTTGACGGCTGGCACTAATGCTACTTGCTAGTCGTGTAGCATTGCATCCAAGATGCGCTTTTACTCCACTAAGAATTACTTTTCACGCTATCAAATATTTGCATGACACGTTTACGGTATAGCCATGTCCCAGGTAGTTTATTGCTATGGCACGAAGGTTAATTTGATACCGGACTCATCGGTGTGATGCTAAATTGAGAAGAGACGTATGAGCTGGTAAATTTTTCTCCAGTATGACCATTTGTGTTGTTCTCGTGTCGGGAAGGAGTTGTGTTCATATTTCATGAATGTTGTTAATGTTATAATAATTCTTTTTCAAACTAATAACCTATTCATTTTCAGCGGTCTCGTCGAACATTCCGCTCAATTCTCCAAGCCATCAGCAGGTAAACCCGACGGTACAGGCCAAAATCGAGTCCATCAAGGCATGGGGCATCTCAACGTACAAGTATTCTCGCCAGCTGATATCGGAGAAGCTGGGAAAATCCTCCAGGACTGTAGATGTTGGTAAGTTTATTGCTTTGAACTGGAACACTGAATTACGGTATTCCTGCTTTTGGAACAAAACAAATTACATCGTGTTTTGAACTCCTATTATGTATGTAATACGGCAGCTTTTAACTTGAATGACAGCTTCTAGCTGCTTTATCGGTGTTACGGACCGGTTGTCAAACATTGCGGCAACAAAGTGTTTGGAAACCGGGACTGATAGCTTCGGCAAACGTCCGCGTCACACATTCTAGTCAAACACACATCTCCGTCAGGTGGGAATTACTGGGCGTCTAACATTAGTTCAACCATTCACTAGTCCATTCCGCTGATATATTGTAGTTAGTCGCGCACTTATAATTACAGCGGCCACTATCCACGTTTCGTCGATGTCAATGTTGCAAACCTGACGCTAGCTTTGCGCCCGGGTGGAGGTATTTGACACCTGCCTCCGCCAGACCTACCCCTCCCCGTTTCACCTGTCTTAGTGTGGCGTTGCCTGTTTGAACTAACGCCGACGTCCCTCCCCGTGTGTGTCAACAGAGCTCGACGCCCAGATAGAGCGCTTAAGGGAGACACAGAAGGAATACCTGAACGTGCTGAAACTGGCTCGGGCTCTCTCCTCTCACTTCTGTAACATGCTAAACACACAGGTATGTGCCTCAAGATATTTGTTTAAAGCATGCTGAACATATGAATTTCGCCGCTACTGTGTGGATTTTTGTTGACGGCGAAGGGCGCGTAGGGTGACTTTTGTCGATCCTAGGGTGGAAACTGCCCGCTATCGACCGGTTTACAGGACGAGAGAGGGCGATGGTGAATTATGGACTGCCGAGGGACGGCCTGCCACCTGGGGTGTGGGTGGAATCGATCGGCTGGTTGGAGGCCCGCGATAGCGCCGGTGATTGGATTCTGACACTTCAGACAGATTTGGCGAGACGATTAGTGTACTGAATTGGAAGGGGATGAATAGAAATAAGCTTTCTAATAGGTACATAGTGATGCGTTTGCTGACATTCATGTGCAATCCGCTGACATTCAGGATCTGGTGATCAGTCTGTAGGGTGTCCCAAGATTCTGTCACTATCGCCACAATTTACCTAATTAACCGTGGATATCGCACAGTCCACTGACCATGTATAACGTCATGTCACCGCAGCTGCAGCTGAGCGAGCAGTTTACAGAGCTGGGACAGCACAGTCCCGAGCTGCAGGACGAGTTTGTTTACAACGCCACCACCCAGCGGGCGCTGCATAAGAATGGCCGCACCCTGCTGAACGCCCTTAACTTCTTCGTCTCGTCCATCAACACACTGTGCAACAAGACCATGGACGATACGCTCATCACCATCAAACAGTACGAGATGGCCAGGTAAGACG